AAAAAAAAAAAAAAAGGGTTATCAGAATCCTCTTCACTTGGATTCCAAGGGGCAGGGAAAGGGTATCACAGAAAATAGGTTCAGTACCCTCATCCTTAAAACAAACCACAACCATATACTTCATATACTGAAGTGTGAAGGATACTCACTCCCCGTAGCATTCTCCTCTTCTTTTCTGTTAATGAGCAAAAATCTGGGACTTTCAGGGCAAAATGGAAGGGCTGCACTTTGTAGGACAGCAGGAAGGATGGTAAAGCCCAGTAGCACTGGCCACAGCGCTTCAGACCCAAGGATGAATTCCAGACCAAAGATCTAGAAACCACACAGGATAATGCCATAAACCCCATACTTTATAGGCTACAAGTTCATTAAAAAACAAAAAGCTCAGCAAACCATACATTCTTTTACCATGGGAAAAAATAAATTACTGAGCATGGTGGTCACACCTGTAACTCAGCACTTTGGGAGGCCAAGGCGGGTGGATCGCCTGAGGTCAGGAGTTTGAGACCAGCCTGGCCAACATGGTGAAACCCTGTCTTTACTAAAAATACAAAAATTAGCTTGACATAATGGCGCGCACCTGTAATCCCAGCTACCCGGGAGGCTGAGGCAGGAGAATCCCTTGAACCCAGGAGGTGGAGGTTGCAGTGAGCCGAGATCGAGTTACTGCACTCCAGCCTGGGTGACAGAGTGAGACTCCACATCAAAAAAAAAAAAAAGAAATTGTGTTTCTTTTCCTTTCCTCAGCCTGCTTCCTACCATCTATGAGCTACAGTAACAATATCTAAAACTTCCTATATAATCAAACATGTGCCAGACATTCTTCAGTGCTTTAACTGTGTTAACTTTTTTAATGACCCATAAAACGAACACTCATCAGGTATAAGAACTTCTAAAGTACCTGGGCCACCAGAATTCCGACAATGATGCCCAGCTGGTTGAGAGTGCCAAAGGCACCCCGCAGGGCAGTAGGCGAGATCTCTCCAATGTACATGGGCACAAAGCCTGTGCACAGTCCGCAGAAGAGGCCGATAACCAAGCGGCCCAGGATCAGCATTTCCACCGACTCAGCTACTTTACACAGGCCCATAAGGCAGCCGCCGGTGACAGCCAGCAGGTTGACGATCAGCATTGAATTGCGCCTGTAAGGTTAGCAAAAGACAAAGCGGGCTTAGCAAAGTGAGAGGCTCCCTTGTCCTCTCCTCCCTTGTCCTCATTATTCTGCTCTTCTCCAGGCTCATATCGTCTTTTTTTTTTTTTTTGGCCTAACTTTTCCTTTTCACTTTCTATTATCAGAACATTTCTAGGTGGCAGCCCGGCATGATGGTGCCAGCCTGTATGTCGTCCCAGATGCTCAGGGAGCGGAGGTGGGAGGCCGAGGCTGCAGTGAGCTATGATTGGGCCATTGCAAGCCTGGTTGACAGAGCAAGACCTGGCTTCTTGGGCGAAGGGAGGGTGTGTGGGGGGAAACATTATCAAGTTAAATAGGTTGCCTTATTAGTTTTTAAATGTGAATTCCATTTGCATTTCTAGAATATCTAATTGACAAATTAAAACACTTCCTGGCCGGTCATGGTGGTTCATGCCTGTAATCCCAACACTCTGGGGAGGCCGAGGCAGATGGATCACCTGAGGTCACGAGTTCAAGACCAGCCTGGTGAAACCCTGTCTTTAAAAAAAATAAATAAAATAAAACACTTCCTTCTTCAGTCGTAACTGAAAATATATTCTACCTTCTAAAACATATTATTAAGCTAGTATAAAATAAGAAGTTTCAGTTTTCTTTTTTTGGCCATTATCCTCATTTGCCATAGACTAAAAGTTACAAAGATAATTCCTACCAATCCTGTGTAAAATAATAAAAACATTTATATGAAACCCCAATTTTTTTTTTTTAGAAAAGTAAACAACTTTGGGCCTTGAGAATTAAGTATGTTTCTGGAAACCCCATAGTTGAGCTTGCTAGAGAATAATTCTGAACTAGCCCTAGCTGGGCTGCAAAAGCCAGTCACTCACACAGCTCATCTCCTGCACAGCTAGGTGGGAGCTATGGAGGGTAGCAGAGCTCCAGGCAAGGGCAGTCGTATTTGGGGCCCGTTGGACTAGGTTTCCCTTGATTAGAATTCAAGGTGTTCAGATTCAAAGGCATCATCACCTCCTTGCCCTAAGTCTCTATGCTTGTCCTCAGTGCGGCTGGTAGAGCCCGCTTCCTTGCCCAGTTTCTAGTCAATACCTGCCAAAGCGATTGACAAAGAGTCCGACGGAGAAGGAGCCGATCATACCACCCACGGAGAATATGGCCACGGACAAGGACCAGAGGGACGTCAGCGACATCTCAGAAGGAGGGGCATTTTTCTTGCTCTTCAAAGTGTTATTGACAAATTCCTTTATGATCTGCAGAATAAAAGAGTTGGTGGGAGGGCAGAATGTTGCAGTTGGATGAGAACAAAAGGCACAAACATGCCAGGCACGGGGACTCACGTCTGTTAATTCCAGCACTTTGGGAGGCTGAGGCAGGTGGATCACCTGAGGTCAGGAGTTTGAGACCAACTGACCAACACGGTGAAACCCCATCTCTACTAAAATCCAAAATTAGCCAAGTGTGGTGGTGGGTGCTTGTAATTCCAGTTACTTGGGAGGCTGAGGCAGGAGAATCACTTGAACCCGGGAGGCAGAGTTTGCAGTGAGCCAAGACCGTGCCATTGCCCATGCCATTGCACTCCTGCCTGAGTGACAGAGTGAGACCCAGTCTCAAAAAAAAAAACAAAACAAAACATTAGGATAATTTCCTCCCTAGAGAATCAAGGGAATAAATAGATGGGACTGGATGAGGCAGATAACATATTGGAATTAATGTTAACTCTCTCTGGAATAGTAACTTTTCATTTATCCTAAAAATCCCAGTAGGGGGGCAGCACTGATGTTCACCCCAGCCCTCTAGTAAGTGGACCCAGCTTCTCTGTAACTAACCCCTAAGGGATGATATAGGAAGTGTGTCACTATCGGGTGAGAGAGTGGGAGGAAGAACAGCCCCTCCCAGGGTACAGGGAGTAAGTGAGCGTTCTGCTTTGATTAAATGACCTCACTAGATTTCCCACCAATATTGTCTCCATCTTCAGCCTTGGCCAGGATAGATACAAAGTTTGTCTCAAATTCCCCTAGTGGAGGGAGGGACCCTCACTAACTGTGTTGCCCAGGATGGTGTTTAACTCCTGGGCTCAAGCGATCTTTAGGCCTCAGCCTCCGGAGTAGCTGGGATCCCAGGTGGGTGCCACCGCACCTGACCCTAAATTCTGAATTGTTGAAACTCTACTTATAAAGGAATAACGTCCCTATTCTGGGTTCTAATTCTTGTGGCCTGGCACTCACCATCTCAGGAGCGTTGATGACCCCAGTGTTGTAGCCAAACTGGAAAGAGCCGATTGTAGCAACTGTGATGGCAACGATCAGAGCTGGGGTGACCTGGAGGGAGAGAGGACAGGGAAGAGAGAATAGTCCTCACAGCTTGTGATTGATGACTGTTTCTTATTAACCATGGAGCTCTATTAGGAGAATGTGACCTCTGAGTGGTATGAAAAGGACAAAAATCAAGTGAGATCTAGGTAATTAATGGGCAAGACAAAGGACAGAGTATACGAAACTTATCTGGAGGTTTGAATGTGACGTTAACTTGGTGCAAGTGGCAAGAGAAACGGGGAAGGAAGAAGTTCAGAGAAAACTGGGTTAGTTTGCAAATATTAAAAAACCTGCACCAGGTAAAGGTAGGCATAGGATTCCACCAAGAACTGGGAGGGCAGAGGAAGGCACAGGCTTGGGCAGGATGACTAAGAACTGGTTCATCTGGAAACAAACACAGTGTAGTCTGATCTGTACCCC